ACTAAAACATCACTATATTAACAAATTAAATTAAAACTATAGTGAATTAAAGAAGTTATATTCCCTTGTTACAAAAATGAATGTTTTTCATTAATGATATATTGATTTAATCTTTTAGAATACGAAGAAGACATTCAAAATTGATCTATAGTGTATTCTAGAATATTATTAGTTGGTGCAGGAATTTTGAATCCTTTACAGGAGTGAGAGGGGGCATTAAAATTCCTCCAAATTTGCGTTACGAAAGTTATGGGCGGTCCCTTAGCTGTGTTCAAGTAACAAAATTTCTAGGTCTCTCAATTCATTCAAACCTGGAACGTACTTACAACAGAATTAAATACTAAATTAAGTTCGTTATGATACACATTTAGAATTCTTTCAAATTCTGTCATCTTCATGCAGTTCGTTGCGTGTATTTTGCAAATGTCCATTCCTGAGATATGGCATAATATTCTGGGGAAAGTCATAATGTAGTACTCAGACCTTTAGTTTGCAAAAGAAAATTATTTGGAATGTGAAAAAATGCCATGCACGTGATCCTTGCAAACTTCTTTTCACTGAGCTTGAAAATCTTACCACTCCCTTGCCTATATATTTACGAATCTGTAATAATTGCCAAAACTGACTTACTTAACGGTAGGAACATATTTTCATGCAATGCTGATATTTATAATTACGACAAACGTCGTAGAAATTACGTTCGTCAAGTGTTAGTATCAACAGCTCACTTCAAGAAATCCACATACAATAATGTACGTTATTCTACAACGCATTGCCAGATGACACTAAACAATTAAATTCGGTAAAAAATAAGTAAAAACTAAAATTTCATTACCTTTCTTCTTCATAACTGTTTGTATATAATCAGAGACTATACTGATTATCAAAAAGAAAAATAATGTTTATTTTAACAAAACAATGATATATAATGAATTAGTTAAACTTTGTATTGTATACTTAAAAACTTATTATGATTTTAACAAATAATGCACTTGATCAGGTTTTTGTCCAGTTTCTCTGATCCTTTTAGGAAATGATGAGATAGCCCCTTGTTTTGCTTCTGGACGGCAATGTAGTTTCAATATGCGCACGCTTTTTTGAACTTTCCTTTTGCTTTTAGTGGTAGAAGTGGAGCTGAAGGTTAGTTACCATTTTGTCAGCAATCCAGAAAAATCAAATCTGCAGTTCATTCGGGAGGTAGTGGATTTCGTTCTTCACATCACTACAGGTTTGCCAACAAACCAATGTACGTATATTCGGTTCGTTCTGTCAACCTTCCTAATTAGTCCAGTCTATTTGTCCTCAAAATGGGCCGATTCAGGAAACACTTCCGGAAGTTTTTTTACACCGATTTTATACGTTTTTGAGGGTGCTGAATTCGAATTTGATGTTTGTCACCCCGAAAAAGGTCGGCTTCACAGAGACAACTCCGAAAAACCCTTAGAATTTCACCCTGTTTGTAGTTTTTGCTTATATCTTCAAAACTTCGCGTTTTGCCAAAGCAATTGTTATTTACGAAATTAAAGACGCTAAAATCGCCTACAAAATGCATATATAAACTATTCTGAAAATACGAGGCTTAGGTTACCAAAACAGTAAGAAGAAAAAATAATATTATTACAATATCTCCTGTACAATATAATTATTTATCAACATTTTTACCGACAATATGTTTTATCAATTGATACCATATTGTGATGTTAAAGTAAGAATAACAGCGGAAATTTTAGTTATTAAATCAGTTAATTTCATAGATGTTTTGAAATGAAAACTTCCAGTTAGAAAAGATATGGAGCAAAACTATTCAATAATAACCGGAAGGCTAATACAATGTCCGAAGAACAGAAGTGGATTTAGACAAGGAAGATCATGTATCGATGATCTATTCTCCATTAACTTGCTTATGCAGAAGAGAGAATAAAAGAATAATTTAATCACAAAACACTATGTTTTCATAGACTACTGTAATGGGACGGTCGTGTTTTATAAAATTATATTGAATATAACGTTGCTGCAGAAGATGCCAGGTAATGCGTAGGTTTTCTCTACCTGCATGCGCTTTTGGGGCATCGGAAACGATGAGGAATCCAGCCTTATTGCCTCGGCCCAAACCACGCCTGTCCGCATCCGGTGACTCATGGGAAAATACGGACGCCGGTGTCTTCGAGCGCCACATCGCCGTTGCACTCTTTTCTGGGAACTTGGCTGAATTCGAGTGTTGCAGAATTTGACTCGGGCATCTGTCAATGACTCCGCGATAGGGCGGAAGAAACCGCGTGACGCGCGGCCGCCAATCGCCGAAAATGAAGAGGGGAGGGGAACGTGAAGCGCGAAACCGACGAGGCAGCAGAAAGACGCTTCGTCTGCCATTCCGATTCCGACCAGGGAGACAACAAGAAGTAGGTAGGCCTTGCCGAGGCGGGTGGGGGGGCGCCAGCGGCTGCACGGCCGCATCACAGACCGGCTGCAGGGGCGCTCACTCTCAACGAACGCAGAGGGCCACGACCGCCTTGCAAAGCGTGGAGGGGAGGGGCAACCGGCGCCTTGGCCTCTGGGGAGGGCACCGCCTGCCACCAGTCTGCCTTGTCGAAGGGCAGAAGGGGAGGCGCGGGCGGCCGCTCCCACGGGAGGGGCCACGATGAACTCTGGCCATTTAAGAAACCATTAGATGTAAGGTAGCTCTCAGAATTAATTTTAGCCTGAGGCTTCACTTCGTTTGAGAAACAACAATAAAACCACATTTTAAAAATGAAACAATGTGCTTAAAAGTAGTGGTAGCAATAGAGTTAGCCACATTACGCACGCCTCCCTCTGGAAAGCCTGCAGACTGAGCAGCCGAGGCAATGTTTAATCGGACGAAATACAGGTAATCAGGTGGGTACGGTCAGCCACGCGAAGGGTGTGGTTACACTATGAAAATGCTTCATGATGCATCGATATATGTTGTAGAAGATAATTAATAAAAGAGGTGTCCATTTAATCGAAATAATCAAACTCTTACATCACAGAACTATAAATCGTTGGATGGAAATGGAAAATTATCCAAGGAATTCAAATAATTGAACAATTAAACAAGGATGTAGCCTATCACAAACTTTATTTAATCTTTATATAGACGACGGACATTCTGAGAGAAAGGAAACTGTATTACTGATAGCATTGAGATAAACTCCCAAACCACTCTAAATTCATTATTATTTGCAATCAAGTAATTATCCAAGAAAATAAAATACAGTGAAAGGTGACAAATGAGTGAACATACTAATGAGATCAGTTACAGATTTCTCTCTCTCTCTCTGTAGCTCTCTTCTGTAGCATAATATATATATATATATATATATATATATATATATATATATATATTATGCTACAGAATGGAATAGACTTTTCCGTATTAGTTTTCTATTTCCTTTGGTCTTGGCTAGCTATTCAGACTTGCCACGTACTTGTCAGCTGCCATCTATCGTCGCCCACGAAGACGCTTAAAAAAGTGCTTAATTTTTTTGTATCCTAAAAGAAAAACAAATATTATTAAAAAATATCAAAGTACAGTTAAAACCTCGTCCTAAGTGGCAATTTTCTTTGAAAAATGTGGAGCCGGTTTTACGAAATTGGCGTTTAAGCGTTACTGTAAATTTAAAATTTAAAGTCCTTTTTCACAGAACATTTTCGAGTTTCGAACTTCGACTTCGAAAAACTTGATTAGAAACTAGAAACTTGATTTGAAGCACATCAACTCCCAAATACAATAGTTTTAACAAATTGCTGGAAATGTGCGGCGTGAGAGATCTTTCAAAAAAATTACATTTGCGTAATATAAAAAACAAAACAGAATAATACCACTAAATGAACGTCACGTCATATTAATGAGTGCAATTAGCACTATACGTTTCTAAAAATGCGAAATTTTGAACTAGTTTTCGCAGAAAACGGTTGTTTTTGGGAAACGTTATACATTATTTAAAGCACATGTACACATAAATATAATAATTTTAACAAATTGCCGCCAATACAAATACTAACGACGTGAGAGATGTCAAAAAGATTATATTTTTGTCATTTTTGAAAAAACAAAAAATAGAGCAATATGACGATAGTGACATCTAATAGAGTACATTTAGTACTTAATGTTTAAAGTAAAAATTGAAGCGTTTTTGAGAAATTCTTGTTTTTGTAATATTTTAAAATTGTCCATATTGCTCGAAATACTGCACGAAAAGTTCTAAAATTTTCAAAAAATGTACATGACTTTAATAAAAGAACGAAATAGGGAGAAAAACATTTATTTGAAGGAAAAATTTATACATCCAATTTTGTAGTTGTCGGAAGACACCGAAAAATATTCAATCTTTTGAAATTTTCGAAAATTCAGTTTACCCTGAAAATTTGACCTATGCCACTTTTATAGGTGTATTTCACTCTAATCTTACAAGAAATTTTAAAAAAAATTGGAGCCATTTTTGAGAAAAGTTTGAGAGAGATGAGGAAAGAGAGAGGAGTGAACGGAGGTTAGGGAGGACGAGAAGTGTGGACGAGAGGGAGAGGGAGACGGACAGAGAGGGAGACGGAGACAGATACAGAGAGATAGAGATAGGAACAGACACAGGGAGATACAGGTAGAGAAACAGACATACACAGATAGAGTCACGGATAGGTTTTCTTTTTCTCCGGGTATTTTGCTAATGTAAACTAAATATAAAGCATGTGGGAACAGAATAATATCAACTCAGAAAACCAAAGTAATGGCATTTAGAGGCAAGTATTTTATATGAAGTAAAATTATTCGGACAGAGAGACGTTTTGTATATATCGACTTTTCGGTATCAAGGTCCCTCAAAAAATGAACTCTGGCTTCACCACGTATTAGTTTTTTCTCTAAATTTAGCAAGTGGATTTATTCACTTTTTCGTTACCAGGGCCCTGTAATACGAGGTTTTATGTCGAAAATTCGCCGTTTTTTCGTGGATTATAAAATTTTCTCTTCTTAAGAATGATTAATTGTTGATCTAATTACAGAATTGCTAGATGGCTGAAGAAACTGCGCTCCAAATACCATATGACAATTCTCCAAACTGTCAAGTTTCAAATGGAAGATCAGAGATTGAACATACTAATTTCGGAAATAAAATACCATTTTCTTAGGGCTACGGTGCCCCTTAAGAGAACCAGGGCCGCTCTGCGGAGCTGCTGGCCGAGCGGGAGGCGCAGCTGCGCGTCCAAGCGCAGGAGCCAACGACGCTCCAAGGCCTGGCACTCGCCCCGACAGACCCACGTAGGACGCGGGCCGACTCCGCTCGCCGAAGCCTACGCTCTCAGGCTACGTCAAACGTTTTGCAAGTACCTCAATACTTCTTTGGTTACGTTTTGCGAACGATTTTAACGTTTTGTAGTTTGGATTTTTGTTCTATTGTTTGTAACGGATTCTACTTTAAACCTGTAAAATTATTTATTCACTTCCTGGATGCAATAACATTAAAAAAAGGTATCTTAAACAGTTTTACTTATAAACGAGAATACAGAGTTTAACTGTTTCTGAAATAATAATACACAATTTTAATAATACAGCTTACAATGAGGACATATATATTTCTGCATACTTATATTAGTAATTACTGTGGGGTCAGCGACTTATAAGACCTTTTACTTCTTCGCTCATCATACTTTTCATCCGGTGATTCATTCTCTGCTTGAGGCATTTCTTGTACGTCCAGGTTTTGCTGCACATTGGAACTGCTGACACTGAAAAATAAATCGCATTATTTCAATGACCTTCCAGAACAACCACGCGAAGCCTCTTAGAGCATCTCGGAGCGAATGGTCTTCAGTCTGAACTTCTTAACCTAAATGAATGCATCGATGTTCGGGCACCTCATCGGAGGTAGCAAGGAACACCTCGGAGCGCACTAATGAACAGTGCAAAGACGTTAAAACACCTGAATTCCAAGCAACCACAGTAACGCGTGGGGATCCAGGAAGCATATCTGGAGAGATGGATTTCAGTTCGGGCAAGCTCCCCAGAAATTCGATTGATTAGTGATTCCGGGAACGACAACAGGTAAAATCATTAGTCCCGTAAGTCCTGTGCGTGTTTAAATAGAAGAGATGGGGTGATCCTCCGCCGCTGGAACGCGAGATCCGGCGCCGACCTACTGCCGGCAAGAGAGGTTTTCCCCAGCCAGGTGTCTCCCTCTAACGGGCAGCGTCCCGACCGGGACGAGCCCTAAGCTCCCGACTGGTCTCCCGGCGTGTGGTGGTGTAGGGCATGGAAGTGGAAGTGTGTGTAAGGTAAATGCGAGGATACGTCCAGGAAGATGAAGGAATGCTGCTTGGCAATGGAGTTGAGCAAAGGAACAACAGAAAACTATCTATCGAAGTAGTCGGCCGCTAGAATTTTCCTAGACGACCGAAGCAGCTGAAGTCGACCTTGCTATGGAACTCAGGTCGAAGATCCTCCCAACGGGCTTCGAACTCTAAGACCTTCCGTTCAGAAGCACTACGATGACATCAGTTGATGCCCTGAGCCACTCAAATCGGTCACAAATTCTAGATTTAGATTTATTCAGTCAAAAAAAAAGTAAAAACTGTATGTGACGTGGGGGGGGGATATTATCTAGAACAACGAAACTTTGAGAATGTGAATATTTTCTTTAAATGCCATCCACTCGGGCTTACTTCTTGAAATTCGATACGAAAATATAATTATCAAAACCATCAATATAATTATGAGTACAATGAGAAAAATAGAAAACTGGTGGTGCGAAAACAACATGTACTTTGTAGCCTGTGCTTTCACACATAATTACGTGAAAAATACTCAAATTTTCGAAAAATTGTACATGACCTAATTTCAAAATCTATCTTAAAGGAATAGATTTCATTAACAAAAAATCTGAATCTTCATAATGCAGTTGTAGGAAGACGCCGAACAAATTGTGAACTTTTACGATTTTCGAAAAATCAAAGCTTTTAAAGAACATGAGACGTGCACCATTCTCTTAAACTTCCTTCACACTATCCAACAACAAAACTGAATAAAAAACGATGGACCCATATTTTTGAAAATTTGGAAAATGTCTCAGGTGCTTCATGTAAAGTATTCCCCAAAATTAAAATATCTGTTTCAAATTCAAGGGACCGCGACATCTGGCAGTTCGTTTAGAAAATATCAATTTTCGAGAAAATCGGTTGGATGGTTTAGCCGCTAGCTTTGGTCATCGACGGACGGACAGACGGACGTTTTGCCGTCAGTCGATTTTTCGGCATCAAGACCCACGAAACACGGATTCTGGCAACACCACGTGGTACAGGAATATTTTCCTTAATTTAGCATCTAGATTTACTACTTTTTCGCTACCAGGGCCTTGTAATAAGAGTTTTCTGCCGAAAAGCAGGAGTTCAGGAGCTAGAGTTAGGAAAGGGAATGAGGAACCGGAGAAAAATCTTTGAGCTCTGTGTGATATCGCGCATAACTAAGTTTTAACGAAGAGTAATTTATCTGCTCAATATATGATCCTCTAATGTGAATAAACATAATTTATTTGATGTTAATCAGTGATCCCACATCATTGTAACAGATCAAAATCAGACAGCACGACTAATCTTGATATTATAAATTTTAATTTATGATCGTATTCCAAAAGTGTTGGTGTTATCTTATCACTTTCCCTCTTGATTTAATGAAACTCCTACGTTCTCCTCCGCCCCCTGTTAACTCCATAGCTTTTCAGAGAAAATCCAGGTGCGCAAGTGACAGGCTTCTGCAGCACCGCCGCCAGACGCTGGTAAGTGGGAAAGCTAATCAACGGACATCTCTCTCTCTCACTCTCTCGACTTTGGCGGTAGGGTGATAGTGTAAATGTGAAATGTAACAGGGACGACAAGTGTGAAGAGTGGTATACGTGTCAATGAGTGAGCGGATGTGTAAATAGTTGTTGTAATATCGGTAGCTCACAACCGATCGCCTCATCAGTGTATAAACAAAGTAATACGCTCGTGTTGACTGCACCGAAGGTTGTATTATTACGTAAAGTTGATATGATCCGAAGCGTGTTTGTGCGCGATCTCCCTGCTAATTTTATTACATACGAGAATTACAAGCTGTGAGGAAAACGGTTTCCTTGCGTCTAGACAAACGTAACACTGACAGTTCTTCAGTGTTTAATGATTCTTTCGCCGAAGTGAGGTAACCATCTTGATTACTTTTCCTTTTCAGAAATTTCCCTTTGTTTCAAGGGTTTAGAAGGACGTAACGCAGTTTCAACACTTACTCAAACGAACTTCATAACTGAAACTCACAAACACCGACTAATTTCAATCCTCTTCAATCATTTTAAAACAAATTTCTACGTAAACTCACAAACTCCCCCTGGCTGCTCCGAAATAACCAACGTCATCACGAAATAGTCATTTCATTCCTGATATTAATCATAAAACAATTAAATTACAACTCCTTCCAACGCGGCCCTTCAGCTTCAAATGTAATCACCATTTCTCTAGGAAAACATCCTAACACTTTCCTAGAATTAATAAACAATATTCCATGATACCATTAAATAATAAATCCGTTCGCCTGTCACCAACTCTACCATTGTCAACCCCTCAAAAAATATCAAATTAACCAACACAAAAAGAATACAGGAGCCCAATTCGGTTAATGTTAAATGTAAATAATAGAACAAATATTGTATATATTGTGTTGTTTTCTGAAGTCATCACATGTAAAGTCTTATGACTGTCTAGTTTAAATTTAAAAAAACATATGAAAAAACTTGAATATCATACACAATTTCAAAATTATGGAGTAGACTTATGCTATGAGTAACTTACCATATGCATTGCAAGAGGGGTATATCACTTGGACGTACAAATTTCTGTACGTCTTAGGCCAAATAGGCGGAGTGTCCGGACTCAACTCTCCTGATTTCAGAAGCTGTAAAGAAAAGAAAGGAACAGTTCCATTAAAAGAAATGTGATTTTTGAGTTTGTGTTTTATTCCAGTAATAACCCTTCCAATTATTATATTTTAATATGACACTAATGTAAATACTAGTATATTCAGAATATTAGTACATAGATGTAACCACTAAAACCAATAATTAAAACAAAAAATAAAATATGGATTTCATCCTAATTCTTTAGTAAAAATATTGTACAAAATAATGATTATATAAATATTTTAATTTTAAAAACTATGAAACAAATCGTGTAATATCTGTCTGTGATAATGATAATTCTCGTAAGCCATAAAAAGAAGAATTTTATGGTTTTCAAAGATTTAATTTTTTAATGTTTTTATGTACAGAATATGAACATGTTTTAAAATAAATATTTACATGATAAGGTTTTGCCGAGGTTAACTCCTAGGCGGGTTAGGTCTCTGAAGCCCAACAGATTCACGCGTGTTTTCTTCCTAACCGAGCTTTTGAGATTTTATTAATACATTTCACTTATTTCATAATAGGAAAAGAATCATCTAATGACTTATCAATACACGGAGTTCTTTGAGGTGTTTGTGGCCTTTGCGGTATTTGTTTCAGTAGTATGCCTAGTATGTCAGCGAGAGGTATTTGATTTTTGAGAGCATTGTACTTACCTCTCCCCTTTTCATAAAAAGGCAGTCCAACACGCACTGTAAATGTTAAAGAAAAACCTTTAGATTGTTTATACAAGATTTGATTTTGGTTCAGATTTCATTGATACATTTGAAATGTTTAAGACTAATATTTGACATTCAAACGCATCAATCTTAATTCCCGTTAATCCGTCATTTACTATGTTAAGATATTTCTTGGGTGTAGCTAAGGAATAGTGAGCATTTATTGCACAAGAGGTTTCGCAGTCACTTTCAAATGGGAGTCAACGACGGACCTCAGCGTATTCTCTCTTTTTTTTGTTTTGGTAAGGAATTACTGTTTCGTTTGAGAGATTTTTAGTGATTCCGGGCGCGTCAACTGCTAAGATCATTAGTCTCGTCAGTGTAGTGCAGGCTTCTTCCCCGCTAGATGGCGAGATCCTGCGCCGACCTAACGTCGGCTACTGGGGTTACTCCCAGTCAGATATCTCCTACCAGCTGGCACCACCCCATCCGGGACAAGCTCTGAGCTCCCGCCACGTCTCCCGGCATGTGTCGTAGTAAAGTTCATATAAGTGTATGTGTGTGTGTGTGTGTATGAGGGATGATAGAACAACTCTTTCGGGACTCGAACCTAGGACCTCCATGTAAGAGGCACTGCATTGATAAACGTTGGTGCCTGAGCCACCTCTTCGGTACTGTGTCTTTTAGGATTTTTATCATTACAACATTTCCTAATCCGAAGTTCGTTTCAAGGTTATTGAATGATTACAAAAAACCTCGGAACCGTCAGCATGCATAATAGCTTTGTGGAAACTCCATAGTTTTTTTACGGCACTTAAACAGATTGCAAATGTTCTCCGGGTACCGGAATGATATTGGTATGTGAATATTAATTGTAACTTATATTCCCAAGAATTTTTTTCTAAATATGGAGGTATGGTTTTACAATGATGTATATGGTTGCTGGAAGTCGAACGAGAAATTTGAAACGCACAATTTAAGAATGGAGACCTTCGATTGTAGCATTTACATTAAATTTCGAAGCTGCTCTCTCCACGTTCGGTGCGGGCTAGCTTTTAAGAGTTGCCCCATCCTCTTCCTGGCTGCCATCTATCGCCGCCCAAATTAACGGCATGAGAGAGATTTACAAAAACTTGCATTTGAGTCATTTTTGAAAAAAAAACAACGTAAGAATACTAAATAATGAAATTTGTTATATTAAACAGTACACTTATCACTTTGTTGAAAAAGTTTAAAGATAAAATTTGAGCCTTTTTTAAGAAAATTGCCTTCGAGCGTTTCTGAAATTGCGTTTGAAATTAATTTTGAGCTAATTTTCACAGAAACCTATTAAGTTTTCAGATATTTTATGACATTATTTAAAGCACTCAATGTACTCATAAATACAATAATGTGATCAAATCGCCGCTAACGTACAAACTAATAACATGTGAGACAAGTCAAAACAATTATATTTAGTAATTTTGGAAAAAACAAAAGAATTAAGCAAACTGATGTTTATGTCTTCTCATAGAGTACATTGAGCACTATCCGTACCAAAAGTTTAAAGAAAAACTTTGGTGCCATTATTGAGAATATCATGTTTATGAATTTTTTTTAAAAATTGCACAAATTGCACTCAATATTGCGCGAAAACGATTAAAATTTTCAAAAAAATGTACACGACACGAATGAATAAAAAAATCACTATGGAGAAAAATTTCATTTGAAGGAAAAATCTTTATCTTTAATTTTGTGGCTGTAGAAAGACACCCCAAAAATTTTAAAATTTTGAAATGTTCGAAACAGAGGTAACCCATGCCTCTGCTACATTTATATGTAATATACTCTATTTTTACAAGAAAGTTAAAGAAAAAAGTCGATTTCGAATTCCGAAAATGTACGGGAGGCTTCATGTAAAGTATCCCCAAATGTTGGAAAACGTTTTTCGAAATCTCAGCGCCTCGAGTGGAGCCAGATTGTTTTAATAAATTACAGCATTTTATATATTAAGGAAAAAGTTTGCGTCACTCCTTAGAACAATAGATAATGATAAAAACAATGGGAAAATAGTTTAAACATTTTTTAAAGCGTCTAATCTTACCCCTAAAACAGTAGGCACAAACTGTAAGGAATAATTAAAATGCATTTTAATTATACCTCCAGAACGTCGTTTGTGGAACGTCTGTGGAACTCCGTTTCAACAAATAGAACACGTTTTGAGGCATTTAGAATCAATTAAGGCTATATTTCTTTCTCATATATCACCATAATTGTATATTTGGGCCATATTTGCATATTTGTGTCGTATATTCACCCCGTATCCGCGAAAGAAAGCCCGAAAGTTACAGATCTGTCGGCGTGTAAGCAGCTCTGACAGTTCTTTCACCACTTGCTATCGTACATCTTATGACCTGCTCTGAAGCAAATGGACTTCGAGGATTTTCACCCTAGCCACGGATCAGCGTTGACTCTTGCCTGACTGTTTCGAAGTCGCTAAAGGAGCACGTTTAGATCTCTCGTCAGTAACAGAAAAAATGAAATATGCATCCCCCGAGCGCCTATGCGTGCCCGCAAACGTGCAGTGATGTTAAAAGTCAGGGCCGTGAATTTATCGTAAATTGAGAGGAAGTCTTATTTTTGTTGCAATACCTAGGTTTTTTTTGTTTTGTGAAATTTACATTAACTGCACATTATATTATTTTCCTAAGAAATGAGTGTTCTTCAAAATTAAGCTCTTGACTCAATTTTTGTCGCTTGTAACAATTTATTTTTCTGTATCTTTTTTGCTGTGAACATATTTTCTACATGACAATTTTTATTTATTTTTACTCTTACACATTACATTATTTCGCATATTTTCCTTTGCATTGCATATATTACCAAATAAATTTTCATGTACCTGCACATATTTCGCTGTTTTTATTGTATATAAACCACAGCTCTAGTCGTAGGATTCATACGAGACACATGGAAAGTGAGAAGGCAAACCATATAAAACAAATATTGAATGAAATAAATACACTACACAAATCTTTGCCTAAAAAAAGAAGAATGAAAATACTATAACAGCAATAACTGACGCTTGGAAAAATGGCGTAGTACACCCCCTAGTACGTCTAAAATGTTTATGATAAAAAAATCTACAACACAGAATAAATAAGTGCGTAAGCAGTAACCTCATAGGTTTGCAGGGGTAGTACCTATCCTCCTTTGGTCGGTAGTAGCATTTGTCTGCTCATAAAGAGGGTTAGTTGAGAGGAAACGTTCTGCTGCCAATCATCCGAACAGTGGGCGTTGGTCAGAGATGGACGGGACGATTTTTCCGGATCAAAGACCCACCGAACATGAAGTCTGACTGCACAAGGTACCCAATTTTGCGTTACCAGGGCCCAGCAATAAGTGGTAAAATAAAATTAAAAATTTTAGTCAAGGATTGAATCTAGAAGAGATGGAGATGGGGATTTTCTCGGATCAAGTACTGACACTGCGTAGGCATGGCACTTCGCGTCATGCACTAATAAAACAGTTGACAATTTTAAGAGACTGGCTACATTTCATCCGGGAGCAATTGATGGTCTTCACTTGCTGCTGCGTAGTGGGCTCCTCCGACAACTACTACGTACTGGCATCAAGACCAAACTAGCATGGTGATAAATTGCATTAGTACCAAGGTTGAAGTCTATTAATATATTAATGTGATCATTTTATGCGTATTTTCCCATATCAAAACAAATTTCACCTGCATTTATTTACTCATATATATTTTACATTTTAGACAACCAACTTCTTTCCTAAAAGGTGCAGGATTGTTAGTAAAAAATATCAAACGATTCCCAAACCAAATTTTGAACTTACGACGAAAGTTATGAAACAAAAAGGAGTAAGTGTATAAATAATTTTTCAATGTGAATATAACTATTGCGAGTAATGTCAAAGACATAGCCAAACAGACACATCACCTTATAATACGAGTATTTGTCTTTAAAAATTCAGTCAGTTAAGATAAGTTTTATTCATGCCACAAATTAGATGTTAAAATAATGTTTATGATGTTACAAAAGAAAAAAATGCTAATTTCAATTCATGGCACAATATTCTTAAAAAGTTACACATAGAAAGAGAGAAGGAAAAATTATTCAGGAAACCCTGATATATAAACTCATTAGCCACCACTGATACGTGTGTTAATAATTTTACAGGATTACTTATTTTCTATTTTTGATAAGAGATTAATTGGTTTCAAGTGTAGTTATTTTAATTTCTGGGAATATTCAGAGGAGGATGAAGGTGTTTACATGATTTATTTGACAGAAAGTACGTTTAAATGTTTCAAAATTGATCAAATCAGTACCCATTTTCGTTTGGATGTACCTACCCCTGCAGCAACCGCATACTCTCCCCCACAGTCAATGGACTGTGTATCTTTAATAACGTCCTCTGAAACAGATATAAATAAAAGGAACTAGTAGTGCTTTCACAACGCTTTCTAGCATTATATTATTAGTTAAGGTTATATATTATAAATTGAACTTCAACACAATTTTTGTAACTATAAATATAACAAAATCGGGTTAGTTTCACCACTTATAACTCAAGATTTACTAGATCAATTTTATTTATCTATGATTTGCTAGATTCATCTACGCCTCGAGTAGCGGCATAACTATTAAACTTTATAAAAAATTGTCGAAAAAAAAAGAACTAAACTTCATAATTATGTCAAATGGGACTTGCAACACAATGAAAATTTGTTATTTTATACATCGGTAAATAACTCATAAATGAAGGATACTAGAACTTAAAAACCGAATTTTGAGCCCAACAGACTCAGAGAAACGTTTCACACACCGTAATACACAGAGTGAGGTCTCTTGAACACTTTACATATTTGCAGGTCCGGCGCTTCTCAAGAACAGAAAAACACACACACACACAGCCGGCGAGAGCGACAGAGTGCCAGACAGACGGCGACAGAGTGCCAGACAGACGGCGACAGAGTGCCAGACAGACGGCGACAGAGTGACAGACAGACGGCGAGAGAGTGACAGACAGACGGCGAGAGAGTGACAGACAGACGGCGAGAAAGAGAGAGCATCAGAGGAAGAGAGAGAGTCACGAGGAAGAGAGAGGAGTCAGAGGAAGAGGAGAGAGAGTCAGAGGAAGACTAGAGAGAGAGTCAGAGGAAGAGAGAGAGAGTCAGAGGAAGAGAGAGAGAGTCAGAGGAAGGACACAGAGAGAGAGTCAGAGGAGAGGAGAAGAGTCAGAGGAAGAGAGAGAGAGTCAGAGGAAGAGGGGAGAGAGAGTCAGAGGAAGAGAGAGAGAGAGTCAGAAGTGAAGAGAGAGAGAGAGTCAGAGGAAGAGGAGAGAGTCAAGAGGAAGAGAGTCAGAGGGAGAGAAGAGTCAAGAGAAAGAGAGAAGAGAGTCAGAGGAAGAGAGAGAGAGTCGAGGAAGAGGCGACAGAGGAGAGTCAGAAGGAAGAGAGGAGTCAGAGGAAGGAGAGAGGAGTCTCAGAGGAAGATAGAGAGAGAGTCAGAGGAAGAGAGAGGAGTCGAGGAAGAGAGAAGAGAGTCAGAGGAAGACAGAGAGCGTCAGAGGAGACAGAGAGAGTCAGAGGAAGACAGAGGAGTCAGAACGAGAGAGTTTGAGGACAGAGAGAGTCGGGACGAAGACAGAGCAGTGTCACGAGAGAGTAACAGAGGAAGACAGAGAGAGTCCAGAGGAGAGAGAGAGAGAGTCAGCAGAGGAAGAGAGAGAAGAGAATCAGAGGAAGACAGAGAACAGAGGAAAGCAGAGAGACAGAGGAAGACAGAGAGACAGACAGGAGACAGAGAGACAGACAGGAAAGAACAGCAG